TTCGAAGGAGAAAGCTCTTGGCGCGCTCCTCCTCAACAAGCTTCCATCCCGCGTCAAGAGCCAAATCTATGATCAGACCCAACATGATCATAATGTCACTCCCATGGAGCTCCTGCACTTGCTGACGAACATTGTGCGCAAGGAAACATCACTGTCGGAAATGGATTTTTATTCGAGACCTTCTGAACATCCCACTTTACGCCAGAGTTCATATGTGGCCAACAAGCAGTACAACAAGCAGTCCTATCGTTCGAAGTTAACTATCACGAAGAATTCGCAAACATGTGCCTTTTGCGGTTCGAACAACCATTCCGCTTTGAACTGCTCCGTCTTCACAACGCCAAGACAACGATCTGAAGAAGCGCGGAAACGACGGCTCTGTTATAACTGTCTCTCGCCTCGACACAATACAAGAGACTGTAAGTCGAGATTTCGCTGCAAGATGTGTTCTAGGAAACATCATACTTCACTCTGCACAGCTCCAAAGCCGAAAATACCATCTCCAACAAAGAGCTCTTCGCTTCAGGACTCCAAGCAGCAGGAAAAACAGGAATGCCCTTATCAAAAATTCAATCCTCGACTAGATGTTTACCGTGGCCGACAAGAACCTCCTCAGAGCTTCCAGTCTTCATCGAGACTTCGCAACCACGCCGTACACTTCGATGTTGCACATTGCGTGAGCGATGAGCAACTATCCTCTTCAGAAGCTGAATCAAAGCCGCTACCGACTCCCTCTAAAGACGCTCCAAATGACATCACTTTCATGTCAAACGAGACGTCAGATCAGCCAGTTCCACTAATGTGTGCTGAAGTCAAACTTTTCAATCCGAATGACCCCTCACACTACACTACCGTATCAGCCTTTCTTGACTGCGGCTCCACTGTATCCTACATAACGAATGAACTTGCAGAGCACCTCGACCTACCCACCGTTGCAACAGAGATACTAAGTGTTTCGACATTCGGCGGCCCGGAACCCCTAATGATGGAGTGTGCAGTCTACAAAGTGGGAATCGAAACCGAAAACGGTGCCAAATGCCTGACGGTAAAGTCTGCTCCATTTTTGGCTGATGACATAACGCAAATCATTCCTGGCGGCAACCTATCTGTGACCTCTTGTAAACCATCTATATTGATTGGAAATGACTACTTCTGGGACATTGTGCTGTCGCATAATTTCTACTACAAGAACTTATCCGAAGGACATCGCCTTCTTCACACTACAATTGGCGATATCATCCTGAAAAAAGCACTTGATACGAGATGCAATGACTACAGCTTTGCTTCAGTGGAAAGTGGTGACTCTGCCAATCCAGCAAACCACAATGACCTTTGTGAGTTGGTAAGCCGCTTCTGGAAGCTGGAGACAATAGGCATCGTGGATAATCCGAATCAAAAAGAAGACGCAGAATGCCTCGAATATTTCAACAATACCATCTACTACGATTATGATGAAAAAAGATACATCGTCTCGCTACCCTTCAAGGAGGATCCAACAAAAGTACCTGATAACTATTCTCTAGCGTATTCTCGTCTCCGTAGCCAGCTGAAACAGTTACAACAAAACCCATTATATCTAAAGAGATATCACGCGGTGATTCAAGACCAGCTGCAAAGGAATATCATCGAATGTGTACCATTGGAGGAAATCCACAAACCATGCCACTATCTATCTCACCACGGAGTTATAAAGAAGGACGACAAAGACTTGAAAATACGCTGTGTGTATGATGGTTCTGCAAAGATGAAAAGCAGTATGAGCCTCAATGAAGCACTACACAGAGGACCTGTTCTCCTTCCAGACCTCGTTGGAATCCTAATCCGCAGCAGGTTGTGCAAGATTCTTGTTTCCAGCGATATAGAAAAGGCATTCCTTATGGTTGGTCTTAACCATAATTGTCGAGACTACACCAGATTTCTATGGGTGGACGATCCTACAGGACCACTCTGCACTCAAAATCTGATTACGTACCGCTTCACTCGCGTACCTTTTGGATTAGTAAGCTCTCCATTTTTGCTAGCCGGTACCATTCATTTCCATCTCTCTTCCATGGCAACCGAATTATCACGTCATCTCATCAGAAACACCTACGTCGATAATGTATTCTATGCCGCCAAAAATGTCGAAGATGGAAAGTCCTTTTACAACAAAGCAAAGGAACTCTTCAAGAAGGCTGGTATGAATTTAAGAGCTTTTGCTAGCAACTCAGAGAAACTGAATCAGTACATCTCGATGAGAGAAATAGAAGCCATGCACAATGTGCAGAAAGTTCTAGGCTTAAAATGGGATATCACTACTGACGATCTCATTATACCACTTCCGGAAAGACCCTCCAACAAAGAGCTTTGGACTAAAAGAAAAGTTCTGAAACATATTGCCAGTATCTACGATCCCCTCGGCTTGTTATCTCCCGCAACTCTACCTGGCAAAGCCTTTCTACAATCTCTATGGAAAGACAAACTACTATGGGACGAAACACTACCTGCAGCAAAGGAAGAGCGTTGGGAAGAAATTCTTTCATCATGGACAGTCCCGGGAATATCAACGCCCAGACTTATAGTAGAATGTGAAGAAAGGATTTGTTATGAGTATGATCTCCACGTTTTCGCCGATGCCTCATCCGTTGCCTATTGTGTCACAGCTTATCTTGTGCAGAGAAAAGAGAACACACCAATCAGATCCTCTCTGATAATGTCGAAGAGCCGCTTAGCACCACTCGGTCACTCTATGACTATTCCCCGTCTGGAAATCGCAGCCCTAATGATGGGATCTAAACTACTCACTTACGTTGCGAAAGAACTTGATACAAAAATCTCGAGAAAGTTCTTATGGACGGACAGCCTTGTAGCGCTGTATTGGACCAAGAACAACAAAAATCTACCGATTTTCGTCAGGAATCGAGTCAACATAATATTAGAGAACACATCCGATGCACACATACTACATGTGCCCAGTGAATTGAACCCGGCAGACTTGGGAACCAGAGGATGCCTACTTGAGGAGC